ATATGTTTAACCGTAATTGTAATCATAATATTTTCTTATGTTTAATGTCATGACATGTCACTAGATGTCATGTCAGAATGTTTTTAGATACACACCACTTAATCAACAGACACACACACATTGATTTTCTTCATGTTTTGACTACTGCTATGGTCAGCTGCAAAGCTGGCACCAGAGACGTCACGGTTTGACGTTCCTGGGTAGAATGGGGCTAGCCCAACCTAAGTGATAAATGTATAGGCCTGTTGTGGTTCAGGGTCTTTCATCCTTCAGCTGCCTGCGTGCATGTTGGAGGTGCAAGATACCTGAGTGTGTAATGTTAATTTTTACCTGTGTTCATTGAATAAATCAGCACTGGTTGACTCTGTTCTGGGAGCTTCATTTGTAAGACAGAGTGCCTCCCATGAGAGAAATGAAAGGGACCAACAGTTTGATATGGACCTTAATGCTCCTGATGATGTAAGTGGTGAGCAATCAGATGTTTGTCCACACCATGCTGATGCAGCACTGTTTTTGAAAAATGTAGCCCTGTTTTACCTTAAACTGCAAGCTAAGTTGTTGCTCCCATCCTCTGTTATTCAGGCAATTCTTGAAGATTTTCAAGAAATACATGATATCTACCAGTCACACATACTTTTCAAAGTGAATAAAAAATTGGTTGCACTTGGGATCCCAGAAGCTGATATCAGTAATTGATGTGATGAAAAGTGAAATCTCTTGAGGGTTTGCCATACCAAGACACTGAAAACTGACTGACAAAGAAAAACTGTTCAAAAATATCTCCAACTATGTTGAGCCAGTACCCATTTTATTGGGACAAAATGAAGCAGGCAAAGAGTGTTTTGCTCAATTTGTCCCAATCAAGCAAACAACCAAATCTCTCTTCCACTGTGAGTCAGTGAGGGAGCAAAACAAACAAGTGCAGTCCCAAGTTCCATCTGAGGATGTTCTTCGAGATGTATCAGATGGCACCAATATTAGGGAGAACATCTTGTTTAATTTAGGGGTAAACATCCAGAGAGAATTCATCCTTAAATGGGACATGGACATAGCTTCAGCCTTATGTGAATGGTTCATGTGCTCTGTTCATGTTTAGAAAATGGAAATGTGTGCTAGGTCAACGCGACCTAGAAGTTCATGTACTGAACATCTCAGACAATGCTCGGAAGAAGGGGTATAGAGCTGGCATGGGACTGTGACTCTGGCTCAAGCCATAGAAGGCTGTGTAACTGAAAGAAGATAAAAGTTAGGACAGCTGTGGGTTAGAGAGAGAAGGAGTGATGGTGCTGCAGTCGTGAGTGTGCATTTGGACCTTGCCAGGGGGACTCTGGACCAAGACTGACTGACTCTGTGACAATATCCTTATTTAATACTTTATCTATTTCATTGCAGGAGGAGTGATTCTGTTCTCTGTTCCCTAACTACCAGACTACCTATCTAACTACTACCCTGTTCAGAATAAATGTAATATTAAATGATTATTTAAACTGGGATGATTTGTCTGAAGTAATTTAGTTTGTATCAGATCCTAGCAACTAAAATATTAAAGGTGTCCTGGTATCTGGGTTCTTAGGGGCAGTATATAGGCTGTTTACTTTGTGTTCAGAAGCAGGACTGCATGTTGCTAAATATGAAAGAATAACCTATTTTCTGTAATGACCATTATCAGCTGATGAATAGCAGCATATATTGCAGCCTTATGTGCTCCATTTAAGCAAGTTTCCCTGCCCTTACTACTACATAACAGGCACAGGAAAATGGAACACAGCCAATGCTAAACTGGACTGCGCTGGGACTGATTTGTTTGGGGGTGTATTTTCAATCAGGGGTGGAGCTTAAACACCTGGAGAGAAATTAGTGGCACCTGCAGAAGAGTAGGAACCTCTGCTTCTCCTTGAGACTCTTTCATTCTTTTATTTACTGTGAATTGGAGAAACCACAGGCTGAAGCTGGGTCTGAGGCTACATTGTAACAATGTTTGATCTGAAAAAGAGGAACAGCTTGATTCTGAGCTGTGGTCGGGAGATGGAGGAATTCAGACGTGTGGCAGTCAGACGAAAGGTGAAAGGAACTGTGGTGGATCTCCACACCTTTCATACAGGTGAGGTACCTTTTGCATAAGATTTGTTTTATTGCCATATATGACATTTGTGTAATACATGTTTAAGCCTTTAAGAGCGAAATCTGAAACACAATATACACATCTGTAAGACAGATTATTTAAATATCAGTGGCGGACTGTGCAATTGGTACCTGGGTCTTCAGTGGTAACTTACCCGACTTAATTCACCACTATCACGTCGCAAATTGTAAATTGTTTATATTATAAATATAATAATAAATGTGAATTCACTGTGTACTTGTATGCAACTTAAGCAGTTGCGCCACCAACATAACATGAGTATAACATCAAAGTCTCAGTTTTCAGTGCTGTGGTGGCGATCTCAGGGTATTCTGTCATGACTTTAATCCAGAACACCGGCAGAGTTGTTGTCTCGAACATACTTTTAAGGCCGCCGTCATTTGCGATCTCCAGCAGTTGATCTTCTTCTTGCACAGACCTGCTGGATTCACCTGGTTTGTTGACAAATGGGTTGCGGATCCATTCCTTGGCAGTTCGTGGGTCCTTTGTGGCTGGGGAGTAGCGCTCGAACTCTTTTAAAAGCAAAGACAGGTGATCGTGCACCAGCTGGGAGAATGAAGGCTCTGGCTCAGTCTCACCCAAAATCCCCGCTAATGTTTGAAACATGTCCAAAATGCCTCTGTTGACGCGCCGTCCCCACAAATCCAGTTTGGCTTTAAATGCAGCTACTTTATCTGCCAACTTGAAGACAGTTGTCATTTTCCCCTGAAGTGACAGATTGAGTTCATTGAGCAGGCTGAATATGTCGCACAAGTAAGCCAGTTTTGGCGCTCAAGTGACCGAGATGTAACCGAGAGAATGCGGTCATTTTTCAAAATAAAAGATCGTTCAGACTCAGATAATAAATAAAACGGAAATAATTAATAATTTCTTGTACGGCCCGGTACCAATTGATCCACGGACCGGTACCGGTCCGCGGCCCGGGGGTTGGGGACCACTGATGTACATCATCTGGAGCAGTTCAGACTCGATATTTATCTAATAACATGACAAAAACATAAAAGATTAAATAAAATGCATCACAATCACCTGAGATGCTATTTATTTATAGACAAAATCCATTGTTCCTTGCGCAGTAAGACTTCAATGACTGTCATAGAGGTGATCTCTGCATTTCAATTCCATCAGTAAGTCCTTTTCTGTAGCCATTGAGGCAAAGGCTGTGAGTCGACTCTGTCCAGTCGTATTCCTGGCATATGTTGTTATTCTCTTGAGGGCAGAGAATGTCCCCTTGACAGTTGCAGTGGATATAGGGATAGTCACGGTCAGACATGCCAATCTGTACAGTCGGGCTGAGACAAGCTAGCTAGCTAGCTTCGGGGTTGGCCGAGCTCTCATCACGATGTCTAGCTTTTCTGGAAAAGTCCGCCTTGAAAATGGATTTTTTAAGTATGTCCGAGAAGAAGTCAATTTCTCCTCCTCCACCAGCCATTGTGAGTGTGTAAAATTCTAACTCAAATGTATTAATGTGTGCATATTGCTACAGACGTGTTTTGATAGTCGAACTTGACTAACAGTTTTGCTCTGACCAACCAATCAGAGGACGAATAAATGCTGATGTTATTGTAGGCCAGCTAGCTGGCCCTGTGATGTGAATTTGAAATCTGATTGGTTAAAGAAACAGTCCCATTGCTAATAAAGTTTAAGTTACATCGGCCAGCACTACTAATTCTGAAGGCCCTGGGCAGATTAGATTGACATGGCAACACATAGAGGCTGAAATCTGATTGGACAAAAAAAATCTAACATCAACCAGACACGTACTGGAAGCAGTGCAGCCAAGAGAAATGCTACGAAATGAAGGAAATGGACTGTTGGGAATAAATTAATATAATTGGATGGAACAAATATTAGAATTTAGGTTTTAAATGTAGGTTAGTGCTTCTGATGGTGTTTAGGCCAGCAGCAGAGAAGGCCTTGCTTGCTCTGATGGCCCACCACTGATATATAGATACATGGATGGATGCATGCATTTTACCTCTTCTGTTAAAATTTATATTTAGCTAATGCAAATGATCGTGTTACATTTCCAGTTAATGGAACTGTATAAATTTAAGACTGACTTTTTTATCTTTTTAGCCATATATCATACTAGTCATTTATTTTAGATTTGCACTAGCTAAAGGTGAAAATAATGCTAATGCTAGAGATTTAGCCATGAGCCAATATTGTCCCTTCATGGACCTCATGTCTTTGCTGTAAGCGACAGGCGCTCCTGATTTTTGATGCATCCCCTTAAGTAAGCATACCGACAGAAGGAGACACAGACCTCTAAGGACAATGTCCATTGTAGACATTAAAATTAGACATTCCTGCAATGGGATGTTAATATGTGGAGACAAATGCATGTCAGAATTCCAGGATAGCAGCTGATGTGTATATAATGTCTTTTGGATCCAGTTCAAAAAATACTTTGCAGAAGCAGTTGTACATTTTGGGAAATATATTATATTTGGGTAACTGGCACAGCTTAGCATAAAGACTGGAAATGGGGGTAGCAGCTAACCTGGTTCCATTAAAAGGCAAACATAATATTCAAGTACCTCTAAAGCTCTCTAAGATTTTTCTTTGTTTAACCTTTACAAAAACCAGGCAGTTACATGCTGGACTTTTTTGGCTGGAGTTTTAAGTTTCCCAAAATTTTAGATATTAATTTTCAATTATCTGGAAGCCCAGACATCTTCATATATTTATCAATATTATATCTGTAACATCAATACACACAAGCTCAACATTTTTATTTTCCTAAATCTCTTCAACTTGGTGCTTTTGTTAAATATCAAACTTTAATGGTAGAGGCTTAAGTTAGTATTGCCCTCCACCTAGATGTCACTGTTGTTTAAAAACTAGTATGTGGGAGATGGTGCTCTATCTGTTTAGACAAGTGTTGAATGTTGCCTCTCAGATACTGACACATCTCATTAGAATAGCAAAGGTGGAAAAAAAGTGAGAAAGCAGAAGTGTTATGCTGTTGAGAAAGGGACCGCATGACCAACAAATCTGTTACACTTCAGCAAAGCCAGGAGTGAACTGGAAAGCTTTCTTATACAAGTATCAAATAACTCTGAATAAGTATGAAAATAAACTGCAGGTAAGAAAACAGCCAGTTACACAATTTGAAAGTAGTAAGTTGTTGTACTCTTGTTTACAGTTTTATGAGTATTCGTATTGGCTCAAGTACACAACAGTGAAAACAAAGAATAATATCTCTGTCTGTGGGGCTTCTGGACATAAATAACTCTCTCCTAGAATATTTTGTACATTTCACTACATATACTGTAGTGTAGGCTATGGTTCAAGTGTGAACATTGTACTAAGAGGATTGGAGACTTGTATTTTGTGTGTGTGTGTGTGTATATATATATATATATATATATATATATGTGTATGTATGTGTGTGTGTGTATGTACTGTATAACAGACTTTGATCAAATGGTTGGATATTGGTTTGACTTTTCCATGTGCATATAACAGCAGTATTTACTCAGATGAAAAGCAATGGCACAAACCACTGAATCATACTTCCCCAGTGGTTTTGGATTTAAATGGTGTTGTCTGAGGTTTCCCAGTACTCGGTATAATGCATGTCCGTGCAGATTCTCAGTCATCCAGGTCATAGTAAAAAAAAAAATCAACTGGACTTGGTTTTAGGTCAAAGATGTTTCACCTCTCATCCAAGAGACTTCATCAGTCCTGCCCGACTGGCGTTGAGCCAGAGATATTTATCCCCATCCGTGGTGTTTCAGTCCTTTGATGGCCAACAATGTCCCCTAACGACTGAGTCATTGTAGCCTAATATCGGTGAGCGCCGTTACCTGTCTTTGAACCCTTACCTGTGGACCTCGGAACAAAGCATCACCACAACAGACCCACCTGTGAGCCCATTCTCATAGCGGTCGGGTCTGCAGCCAAGCCTAGTCAGTTTTACTTTTAATTGTAGTCATAATCCCTAAATTGGAAAATTTTAGAGATGTGTGTGTGTGTGTGTGTGTGTGTGTGTATAATGATTTTGCCAGGTACTTAGATCCCTTTTTAATGGTCAAATGCAAGTTGGAATTTTGTGTTTAAATGATTGAAAATGTGATAAAGTCCCAGCAAAGCATGAAAGAAGTATTACAGTAAATCACTGCTACATAGTGTGGAAAAATACTGTATGTACACCATGGTTCAAATAACTACATTTCTTTTTAGCAGTAGAGTATGTGGCTTGTACAGCTGTAGCTATGTTTGTAACAGGGTTGGTCAGAACCAAACTGCAAGAAAGACTGTGAAAGAATCCTAGCTTAAAATATAACTTTCTTCAAACCACAAGATCCAGCAGCCTGCATACATAATCTGAACAACAATGCTAAATCTGAGTAGTGTAAGTAATCCATTATTCTGTGAGATCACAGCTTGTCTTCACTCTGTGTTGTGGTTTATACTGTAACTACAAGGCAGTGTAATTCAAATTAGCAAATTAGCTAACAATGATTAATCTCTTTGCAGTGCCTTCTAACCCTGTTCACCTCCAGAGCCCTCTGAGAGCAGGACAAGATCAAGGCCACAGTACCACAACAGAAGAATTATTACCTCCTCAAGCTAATGGCACAGAGGAAGACAAGAGTCCCACCAGAGGTCTTGGAGACTGCGCTTTCTGTTTCAGCCCAGCACAGAATGACCTAGGCTCCCCTAGTCCTGTCAAACAAGCAGTGAGCAGTGTTTTGAATGAAGTATCAGGAGTGTACATCAGCCCTGCCAGACATGCTCAAGGGACTCCAAATCTTGCAAGCAGTCCAGTTTTAGGATCTCCAAGTCCAGGCAAAAGAGGCTTTCAGAGTTGTAGCCCTTTGAGGGAAGGAGAGCATAGCTCTGCAAAGCTGTCCCCAAGAAACTCTTCCCCAGGAAAACTGCAGACCCCCACCCCTGTTCAAGGGAAGATGAGTGGCCATAGCCCTGCAAAGAACTCTAGATCCTGGCTACAACTGCACCGAATCCCAAGCAGTAAGACAAGGCAGGAAAAGAAAATGGGACAATCTTTGAGCTTGCCTGATCTGATTGTTGACTTGGATGAGAGCAGGTAGGATTTTTAAGTTTATGCGCTTTGATTTTCTGAATACCTTCACATAGCATAAATGTAGAATACAGTAATTTCTGAATGTTGTTTGAATTTAAAATCATAAATACTTTATTTTTACAGGATTGAACGCTCTTTACTGGAACCACTCCAGTCATCCAGCTGTAGTGGGCCTGCCATCACCATCAAAGCACCAACTGACCTCGGTCATAGCACAAATAAAGGTCATAATTCCCCAGGAAAAACTAATGGTGTAGTGCAGGGGGACGAATGGTCTGTACTAAATGGGAAGGGAATAAATGATAAAATGGAAGAAGGCATGCTGCCCATAAGGTATGGCTCAAAGTTTTCCTGCCAGTGGAATGGGTCAACTACAGAAGACGGGAGGATTCATGAGGAGTCTAGGGGTGAACAAAATGAGGAGAAGAGTGGAGGAGGTGAGCCAAAAGATGAAGAGAATACTGAGCAGAAATTATACAACATAGCAAATGAACTCCTGCAGACAGAGAGGGCTTATGTGGCTCGTCTCCACCTGCTAGACCAGGTCAGTGTGGTAATCCATTTGTGGCTGCCCCAGTGACAACTCGTTGTTACTGCTGGCTATAGTTTTTTTTTTTTTTCAATTTATTTATTGCTATGATTAGCACATTCCTAGCTGATATGTGACTTAAGTAATACATTGTTGTAACTTGCCTCTGACTCCCACAGGTGTTTTTCTTGCGCCTGACACAAGAGGCAGGTCGAGGCTCGTTTCCTGCCGAGGTGATAAGAAATATCTTCTCCAACATTTCCTCCATATACTCCTTCCACAGTCAGTTTCTGCTGCCTGACCTGGAAACCTGCATCAGCCACTGGTAGATGTTTGTCAATAATACCTGCAAGCAGGACATCTTTAGCAGTGACACTGTCTATGAGAGCAGACCCTCGCACCTTTTACTTTCCCACTTCCATCAAATCTAGGTGTGAGAGCCCAGGCCTAGGTAAAGTTCTGCTGCAACACGCACCTTTCCTGAGGATGTACTCAGACTACATCAGAAACTTTCAGCAGGCCATGGTGCTAGTGAGGACCTGGACTGCACGCTCATCTACCTTCAGAAACATCATCAGGGGCATAGAGGTAATATGCATATGTCTTATTTTTATGTGCCTAATAGTACAGAGGTGTAAACAGAACACAATGGATATATTGTCTTAGAGTCAGGAGGTGTGTGGCAACCTCACCCTTCAGCACCACATGTTGGAACCGGTTCAAAGGCTTCCTCGTTATGAGATGCTGCTGAGGGATTACCTAAAGAAACTGGCTGAGGATAGCCCAGATTATGAGCTTGCTCACAGTAAGTATACTGCACCAGTGGCTTTAATCTCCATCTGTTGTATCCACTGTCATTATATCTCAGTATCCGTTTGTCTCTGAGATGTTAGTACTGAGCAGTATGAAATGCTTCCTTTTTCTCCTCCCACAGAATCCTTGCAGACTATTTCCATGGCAGCCACCCACTCCAACAGTGCCATCCACAAAGCTGTATGATACCATAGCAGTTACCAATGAATTAAATAAGATTTCATCACTTTAACACATAAATTGTATTATATTGTCAACAGATTCTGATCTTAATTATTCCAATACTTTTGTTTTTATTCCATCATTGGAATACTAGAGCTGTACAGCTGGGGGCAGATGATTTAAAGTCGTATGTTAATTATCGGTCATTCTAATAAAATTTTGGCAGAAACTTAAAAGACACTAAACATGCAAGTATTTTTAGATTTGCCAGTTGTGGGAACAGTAATCGTCACACAGTTGCTATAATATCTACACTGATCGATTTCAGTGTTTTCTCACCATCTTTCTTTCACTGTAGGAGAACTTGAAGAAGCTGCTGGAAATCTATGGGATGGTTGGCGACAAGGAGGTGGTCAACCCGACCAACGAGTTTCTTAGAGAAGGTCGTCTGCTCAAGCTTGCTGCCAGGAACACGTGTGCCATGGAGAGACACCTGTTCATGGTTTTAATACTGATTTTATTTAATGGGAAAAGATGCAGACGGTGCCTTTGTTTTAGTTGAGACAGTGATCCAAAAACTTGAATATGAAATTTGTTTACCTTTCTATGATACTTACTGTCAAGATTATTTAAACTACCCCTTTTTAATGTAAATGGTGTATATATTATACATTTATAAAAGAAACCTAATGTTATGGTGTAAAAAATTTTTTTCTTCCCCAGTTCAACAACTTTCTGCTGTGTTGCACTCCTAAGTTCAGCCTACTTGGGCTACGTTTTACTGTCCGGTGCAGGATTGGAGTGGATGGCATGGAGGTGCAGCTGACCACCAGCAAAGACCACCCATACACCTTTCAGGTCTCTGGAAAGGAGAGGACCCTTGAGCTACAAGCCAGGTGTGTGTGTGTGTGTGTGTGTGTGTGTGTGCGCACGCACGCACAGTTTGTATGGACTGTATACGCCCTTAAATATAATGCAGGAATATTTCATTAAATAACATTTCTTTGTTTGGCCTTGGCAGAGGCTTAGAATTTGACTAATTTGATTACTGTAAAGTATATTTAGTTTTAATTTCAAATTGCTGTAGCCTGTGAACATACTATAACTATCTTGTTGTTAAACTTCAGTATAATAGTGAACATTCAATGCATTAACCCGATTGCCACATGAAATGTAATTCTTTTTCTTTTTAAAGCTCTGAACTGGACCGAAATGAGTGGATAAAGGTACAACTGTAGTTTTATTTACTGTCTGGTGCAGCACATTAAATATTGCGTGGATGAGCAGTATCCTCCACCCTCTTTATTTTTAATTTTAATTTTTAATTTTTTTTTGGTAAAAGCAAGTATCTGTTCTATGTCCAGGTGATTCAAGAAGCCATTGATGTGTTTCAGAAAAAAAATGAAACCTTCAAATTGGCTCCTAAGGAGATGAGTGTAGAAGAACAAGTATGTCTGATAGTTTATTTATGCAAAATAAAATCATGAGTTGTATTTAAAATCTGCTCAAAATATTGTAAGATTATAAATCATCCTACCCGTGGTGTGCATATATTGTTACAGGCAGAGGAACTTGGTCAACGAGCCCCACATTGGATCAGGGACAGTGAGGTGACCATGTGTATGAAATGTCAAGACCCTTTCAGCACATTCACAAGAAGACATCATTGTCGAGCCTGTGGCTGTGTGAGTGATGTGAAGGCTCTGTACTCAATGCGGAATACAGGCAAAGCCTCAGTTTAGGACAGTATTGCAGTGATGGTTTCTGTGCTCCCCAGGTGGTGTGTTGGAAGTGTTTAGACAACAAAGTGGCTTTAGAGTACGACGGTAACAAGATGAACAAAGTGTGTAAAGCCTGCTACTCTGTCCTGACAGCTCAGAGAGGAGATGGAGTGGAGGGCAAGAAAAGAAAAATGCTGGAGGTGAGCCAACTCTTCTAAATATCATGACAAGGTTTAGCTTTTAAACCTCTATATAGAAATTATACCCTTAAAAGATAAAGCAAGCCTTTTTCTATATTGATATTTTCAGCACTCCCCATACAGAGACTAAAACAACAATGATTTGCCTCTAATCATGGTTAATGTCTGTCCTCATTAAGAAATGCTGTATAAGAGCCTAATATTTAAAGAATAAACTGACATCTTGTGCCTGGTCCTTTTGACTTATTTACTTCAGATGCTGTAAAAAGTTAAGCCATTTGGGGCACCATTTTTAAGAAATATCAAGGTCTGATGTTTTGTAATGAGGAAACATGTCACTCAGTGCAGTGGTGTGTTTCACAGATGGGTTTTATTGTTTTTGAACAACAATGCAGGTCTGTGGCACAGATAAATAAGTCTCTAGGTTGTAGGCTGACGGACATGAACTGGGTGCAGGCAATTCATTGTTGGTTTTAGTCTCTGTATGGGGATTATTAAAAATACTGTTAGGGATAAGGCCAGTCATTTTTTATATTAAGTCATTACTGTTATGTAGACTTGAGACAAACCAAAGACTGCACAATTTGATTACACTTAACTGGAATCAGATGCAACAAAGGCAGTGGTGAATAACTTTTTTTTTTTTTTTTTTTTTTGTGGTATGATATATTCTGCATACAAAATGGGACGTCAGCCTCTGTGGCACCATAAAATGCTCTCTCTCTCTCGGATTCTGTAAATTGCATTTTCTTACTCCACAGTTGGAAGCATTTCCATTGTCCACTGACACTGCAATAAGTGGTTTGCACAATATAGTGACAACACCAAGACCTGGCAATGAGTGTGGTCTGTCACCGGGAGGGAACCCCCAGGCCTCTACGTGCACACTGCTCCACAGGTAGGGGCCTGAGTGATGGGGAATAATGTGAACATTTTATTATCCAACTCTGAGTAATGAGGCCACATATTTGGTTCTGTTTGTATTTTATATTTGGATGAAAGTGTCTAGAGTGTGCACAGGCAGTTGTGACACACAGATGTTATCACAGCTCCCCTCCTGAGAGGCAAATGAGTAAGGGAACGGTCACCAGCTGTCATCCTACACTCAAGCAGTTAGCAGCACAGATTCTGAAAGAAATTCAGCCCAATGTTATTTATACACAAACAACTAGAATGTTTCTTTAGGATGAGGTTGAGCAATTATGTTCAGTCTAGTCAGCAAAGGAAAATGTTTAACATTTAGACCAGGATTCTAAATGCCCTCAAGCTTAGTGTCATTAAGTAAAGGTAGGGTTGGTGATCCTGGAAAAACCAGCAAGAGGAAGCTCAATTCTTGAAAGAAAACACTGGCCAACAAATTTTATGAAAATTTTTGTTTCCTCTAAAATTTTTGGTGAAACCAATAGATTTTTACACGCTGAACACAATATATAATTGTAATTTTAGTATCACGCCAGGTTTTTAAGAAAACTGCATTTAACATAATGTCTCCAGCAGCACAGGCCTACGCTACGATATATGATTTACGATGCGATACCCAAGCAACACGAAAGAAATCTAAGTGTTTTTGCCTCAGATTTTCACTTGTAGTCACTGTCCAATGCCTCGCGTATCAGTGTCCAACAACAGTCTCCCAGCATAGACGGACTCCACTTTCCCTGGTAGCGTTTCTCCAATCTCTTGATGAAACCTTTCACCATGCTCGTCACTAACTGCGCCGAGATTTTCAGATTTTCAAAGAAGTCTAAGTGAGAATGAAGAAAATGTATCTTAAGCGACATGTTGCAGTTCATCGACTTGTATGCTTGGAGCAGACTTTCAACCAGTTTGGTGTAGTCTGGTGCCTTGTAGTTGCCCAGAAAGTTAGAAACGACATTCTTGAAGGCGATCCACGCAACATGTTCAGCACCCTGCAGAAGGCCATCAAAGTAACTATCCCTCATCACCTCTCGAGTCTGTGGGCCAACAAAAACACCTTCTTTTATCTTGGCATCACTGATGCGTGGACACATCTGTCGCAAATATGAAAAGGCTTCGCTTTGCTGCTTCATTGCTTTAACAAAGTTTTTCATTAGCCCAAGCTTGATGTGCAAAGGTGGAAGAAAAATTTTCTTCGGATCAACCAATGGCTGATGTGCAACATTCTTCTGCCCTGGAACCAATTTCCTGCAAGGTGGCCAGTCCTTTCTCACATAATGCAAAGCTCTTGCTCGGCTGTCCCACTCGCAAAGAAAACTACTTGGTGTATCCAAGCTGCAGTCAGAGTAAAATGGCAACCACCTTTAGATTGCTGCATATATTCCAGTTGTACTGAACGTGTTTCAGCAGCAGCTGCATGTTCTCATACGTTTCCTTCATATGAACGGCATGTCCGACAGGTATGGAAGGGTAGATATTGCCATTGTGCAGCAAAACGGCCTTCAAACTTAACAGTGAGTCAAACAGTCGCCATTCTTTTGGGTCATGTTCACATCTGAGATCAGAAAGCAATCCATCGATGTCACTGCAAAAGGTCAGACTGTCAACCAAGAATTTTGCCAAATCTTTATGACCACGCCAAAAAAATGACATTTTTGTATCCGACAACAGGTTCCACCCTTGCAACCTTGATCCAAGCAGTTCTGCTTGACTCTTCAGTAAATTCGAATCTCTGACAAGATCATTGAGCTCTGCCGGAGAAATTAAATGAGGATCACTGGATGTTGATGGTTCAAAATCTGGATTGTTGGAGCGTCAACAACGGTCAATCGGTTCGTCTATCTCTGTCTGCTCCTCTTCGTCCTCCAGCGTCCACATCTCTGGCGGCTTTGGAACAGGAAAACTGTCATCGTGTGGTACGGCAAGCGGCTCGTCTATCTCTGTCTGCTCCTCTTCATCCTCCAGCGTCCACGTCTCTGGTGGTTTTGGAACAGAAAGACTGTCATCGTGTGGTACTGGTCTCATTGCAGAGGCAAGGTTTGGGTACTCAATAACTTCCTGTTCTTGGAAGAAAATCCTGAGACATTCGTCATGCAGAAGTAACAATCAGTTACATGATCCTTCTGCTCCCTCCAAATTATTGGGACAGCAAACGGCATGGATGGATGCTTACCCTTCAGCCAAGCACGCAGACTGGTAGCACAAGATTCACAACATATACGAGGAGCCCATAATTTGTCCTGGTCTCCAATTTTGCATCCGAAGTATAACTCTTATGCCTTCTTTATGAGAGCTGTCATACTCCATTTCTGTGGGTGAATGTCAGCCACACAGGAGTATGTCGTGTAATTTGGTGGAAAACCTATTGCCGCTACATTTCTTCTGATTTCAAGTTTAAGCCATGACTCGCTTTTGTCAGTGAGAGGGGATGTTGCCTGATAGTAGATTGCTGTTAATAATGACACAAAACTCTTGACTCAAAAGTCTTAACTCTTACTACTAACACTACTGAACATCAGTTTAGTGTGAAATTTTGATTTTTTTTTTCTCTTCTGGCTTCACAAAGCCTTATGCTTGTGATTTTGTTTTTTATAATCAGCTGACTCGAAAAAGCAGTCTAGTCTAAAAGCAGTTATTAAACAATATAATTAGATCAATATATCATGTTAAAGGTAGGGTTGGCGATCCTGGAAAAACCAGCAAGAGGAAGCTTGATTTTCAAAGCAGCAAACAGAAGAAATCCCACCCTTTCGTTCCAACTTCTCTTCAAAGCTAATATGTCAAAACAATGCACACTGCATGACTACTACAGATTTCAGAGAAATAAATGCCCCCCAAACAAAACAAAACAAAACCAATAATTTCCTAGCAGAAATATGGCCACTGTGGTATCACTTTTCAGCCCCTTGTTATCTCAGTTGTTGCTGTCATTCAAAAGCATTGATTGATTTTTCTGGCAGGGGCGCCGCTAGCAGTTTTGGGCCCTCTACCTCACCCAAAGCTAGTCTCTGGGGGCCCCCCAAGCT